GGATGGGAGATGGATGCTGGAGGCCAGAGCAGGGGATGGGAGATGGATGCTGGAGGCCAGAGCAGGGGATGGGAGAATGGCCGGGGAGTGGGGAGAAGGGGCTCCTGGCCCAGGGCTGCAGCAGGGAGAGAGGGAGGAGCGGGGCTCTGGCATCACAGGTTCCTATCTGCCCCTCACCAGCTGTGTGAATTGGAGCAAGCGAATGAATGCTCTGAGGCCCACAGGTTTAGCATGTTGTGTGACAGATCACAGGTCTCCTTAGCTCTCTGCTGCGCACGCACAGCAGCAAAGGTTCAATCTTGGCGGCCTTCTAACAGCCCCCATGAGGGATAAGGAAGTGACAGTGGTATCCCTCGCTTGCTCCCTCGCTCACAGAGCTGTGGGGCCCTGACTCAGCCTGAACCTCTCAGCCAGGAGGAAGAGGGACTTCTTTGTGGGCCTCTTGCTTACCTTTAATTGGCCTCAGTTCTTGGCAGCCGAACTATAAACCACAGGGGCAGGACCATAACCACCCAAGGGCAGAGTTGTACCAGGAAGCTGGGGCTTGTGTTCCTTTCCTGGCCCAGAGCACTCCAAGCAAGCTCAGGTTGGGGGTCTGTGTGGGAAGTCTGGGTCACAGCTGGGTCCCATTCCAGGCTCTGGGCCCAGGTATGGGCTGGTGGGCGTCAGGGGCTGAAGAGGGGTGCCCCAAATGGATGAATGTGTTAGTGCACGCACAAAGACACACACCAACAGGACTCCGTCTGCAGCTTGCTCACAGAGGGATGTCTGTCACCATTACTCTGGCTCTGACCCAAAGCCCCAGTCCCTCCTTCAGCTAAGAGGAGAAATGTATCAGAACAAAGGCTCCAGGGGATCCCAGCCCTGGGCCTTCACACAGAGCAAGAGTGGAATATACTCAGAGGATCCGGCACAACTGGTGTCAATCCTGGGAGACCACCTGGGCAGGGGTGGCACAGTGGGCTAAGAATCAGGAAACCTAGGTTCTAGTCCTGGCTCTGCCATGTGCTCGCTCTGTGGCTTTGGACAGGTTACTTAACCTCTCTCAGCCCATTTCTTGATCTATAAGATGCAGCTCATACTAACTGCCTTTTAGGGTTGTTTTGATTAAATGGCACACAGCAGAGTGTCAATAAAAGTCAATTCCACACACATAGTCACCAACCCTCAGGAGAGCACAGTGGAAAAAAACCAAATCTGCAAGCAAAAACCATAGTTTCAAATCCCATCTTTGCCATGTGTTAGAACAGTTACATATACAACCAACCACTTCACCTTTCTAAGCCTTAGTTTACCCCTCTGTAAAATGGGAACAATGATTATTTCACAGGGTCGTCATAAGGAACAGGTTAGATAAATGAAGACTCCTGCAAACAGGAATTACAATAACAGTATGTAAGTGCACTCCCTTGTCTTTCCTGCGATAGGATGGACTTTGGTCCAAATAAAACCTAACTAGAGCCAAGGGCTGGTCCACCCCATGGGCTGAAATAACAAGCCAAATATTCTTCCATAAAGTTTTATTGGCAGTTCTGGGGGAGAAACAGAGTTAAGAGTCCCTCCCCTTCTATACCCCTGCCCAGAGGGATCCCTCTGCAGGAGGGCAGGAAGCCCAGGACTCAGAGGGCCTTGACAACGCATGCGTCCTTGCAGGGGATATCCTGGCCCTCGAGCAGGCTGCGGTAGGTGGCGATCTCCTGCTCCAGCCGTAACTTGATGCCCATGAGCTGCTGGTACTCCTGATTGTGCCGCTCGGTGTCAGCACGCACATCGCACAGTTGGGCCTCGATACTGCTGATCAGCGCCTGGATCTGCGCCAGCTGGGCCCCGAAGCGGGCCTCCGTGTCCGCCAGCGTGCATTCCAGGGCGGCTTTCTGAGGGCAGGAAGGAGGGCCGTGACTCGGTGGAGCCTGGTCCCCAGAGAGGGCACAGCCACCCGCCAGGCTCCCTCAGGGGCAGGGGCACATACCATGCTCAGCTGCGACTGTAGCTCAATCTCCAGACCCTGAAGGGTACGTCGCAGTTCAGTCACCTCCGTCTTGCTGATCTGGAGCTGCTCTTTGTTGCAAGCAACCTCCCGGTTCAGCTCCTCGGTCTGCAGCAAGAAGAGGAGGGAATAAGCATTCGGCCAGATCTTTGGCTGGGGGGCATCAAGCCCTCTCTCCTTGTGCCCTCCCCGAAGGGCGCCTGCTTCCCCTCCGTACCCGGCAGATAAACCAGGCTTCAGCATCCTTCCGGTTCTTCTCGGCCAGGGCCTCATATTGGTTTCTCATGTCGCTCAGGATCTTGGCTAGGTCGATGCCTGGAGCACAGTCCACCTCCACATTGATCTGGCCACCCAAACGGCCCCTCAGGACACAGACTTCCTGAAAAGACAGCAAAGACAGGCATGTCAGGACCCAGAGCCCACTGGGCCTGGGCCAGTTCACCCTCCTCCCACCAGCTCACCCCAGGCCAAATGGGACTGGTTCTCAGGCACAGACCCAGGAGCCAGCACTGTGGGATAAACTGGGTTGCCACAATCCTCTGCTGGAACCCCAGGAGCCATGGCAAGGATGCATTGAGTGTGGCCACGCTCAGGGGATCCAGGGTAGAAAAAAGTCCTCAGCCCTGGGAAGCTGAGGCGGGATGGGAAGGCCCAGCTTGAAACTCACCTCCTCATGGTTCTTCTTCAGGTAGGCCAGCTCCTCCTTCAGGCCTTCGATCTGCAACTCCAGGTCGGTCCTGGCCAGGGTCAGCTCATCCAGCACCCTGCGCAGGCCGTTGATGTCGGCCTCCACGCTCAGGTGCAGGGCCCGCTCCGTCTCAAACCTTTTAAAAGAAACAGATGCAGCCAGACCAGGTTATCCCGGTACCTCTGAGGACTTCCCCAGCCCCTAGAGTTCAGGAATCCATGAGGGCAGTTTCTCTAGGCCAGCTGGGGTGGGTGACTTACAGTCCAGACCCCCACTGCACTGAGCCCCACATGGGCCTGGGATTGGCCTTCACCCTGCCCTGGCTCCCCGCAGCCCCCAGTGCAGACACTTACTTGGTCCGGAAGTCATCTGCAGCCAGACGGGCATTGTCGATCTGTAGGACAATCTTGGAGTTCTCAATGGTGGCAGCAAGAATCTGGAAGGCAGTAGGCAGGAGATTGGCACCGGTTCAGCATACAAACACTGCCCACCCACTTTCTTCCCAGAGGAAAGAGAGAAGCAAATGAATATACCCCCTCATTCCCTAGAGACCAGAGCCCCTGCTGCCCATTGGCTGCCCTTCAGCCTGCTCTCTGGGTGGCCGTGGACTCCATGCCCAGGAGCTGCAGCAAGAGAAAATGCCGCCTGGGAGGCTGAGGCTGGCCAAGGGTGAGGTGCATGGGGGGGCAGGAGGATAACCTGGGGAGACAACTGTGCCCAGTGACACTTGTGTGCCCTTCAGGGAGGCAGCCTCTAGTGATCTGTAAACCCAATGCAGGAAAGCATTCAGGGCGGGAGAGGCAAGAGAAGCATCAAGGGCTTACTTCTTTGTTTGTACTCCCCGCTTAAAGCACATTCTGCCCTCAGGGAAGAAAATTCCATTTTTTTGAGCATCTTTTATATCCCAGGCACTTTGCAACTCATCTTTTAGCCTATAGAACTTAACTGCCAGGTCAGTGGATACTCCTATTTTAAAGAAGAGGAAATTGAAGTTCAGGGTACTTTGTCCAAGTTCATCTCACTAGTAAATGGCAGGGTGAGGTTTGACCCCAATTCTTTCCGACCTGAGGGGTGTATTGGCATCATCCAGACTATCACTGATTAAGGTTCTTAGATACTTGGGCTCCAGAGAGCCAGTCGTGCCTCATTAGTTAATGTACCGGGGCGGGGGGTGATCTGCATCAGTGATTTTGTTTGTTTTGTTTTCTGCATCATTTTTTAACGAAAAGGAACAGGAAATATAAAATACCAGAGGGCATCACCCACGGAAGAAGAAGAATTATTCCAAGAAACTTTTGCCTCCATTGTGTGTGTGAGAGAGAGAGAATGAATGCGTGAGCGTGCACAGTAAAATGTTATTTCTTACTGGAGGTAACAGTTTTAAAAGTGTGAAAAGCACTAGGCTAGTTGGTTGTTTCTATCTTAACTCTCCTTACTTGTCCCTGGGTCTGGTCTTATCCCGGACACCCAGCTCCGTGTGAGGTGCATGGTAGGCAATGGCAAATGTTGTGGGGAGCTGTGTGTTCACCCAGCATGTGAGCTGTTAAATGTCCCACTGGCTCCTGATACACTTCTTCAGGACTGAGCTTTTATCGGTAGGCGGTGACCAAGCCCATCCCCCATGCCCGTTAAGACACAGGTAAGAGCCTGTCGCTCAGACTTCTTGGATCCAGTCCAGGACTCCCCACCCCGCAGGTCAGAGGGCCCCTGCTGCACCTGGTTCTCCCCAACAGAGGTCTTCACAGCAAAGGACCCGGGGCCTTTGCATAAGTCCCTCCTTTACCCTGCCCAGGGACCTCGGCTGGCCTCCTTCGTTCTCAGAGCGCCTCTTAGGCCCAGCCTGGGCCGCGGAGGAGGGGCCTTAGTCTCAGCGCGATGGGAACCAACCAAGCGGGTCTGAGAAAAGGAATGCAGAGGCCTTCCACCGGATCCGCAGGGGGCAGGCCAGGCCAGGGGCGGACCAGGCCTAACTCCTGCATCTCCCAGTTGCGGCCGCGACCACTGGCTTGACCACTGGTCAGCCCACAGGTTCGCCCCATCTCCTCCCACTCCTTCGCACTCCCGTTCAGAGGCCTCACCGGCCTCGCCCTTTCTTCCTCCCCCGCTCTCCAGTCCCGCCCTCCCGCCTTCTACGGGCCCCACTCACCCCGCCCAGGTCCCTGCCCCTTCCCACCAACCCAGTCCTCCACTTCCTGCCCTCCCCGTCCCCGTGTTGTCCCCTCCCCTCCTCCCCCCTGCTCTCGGCCCCGGCCACCCCCTAAAGGGCTCCTTCCCGCCCCAGCTCCGGCCTCGCCCGGCCCGCGAGGCTGGGTTTCCCCGACCTCCGCCCTACCCGCCGCGGCAGGTGCACTTCCTGCGGCCCAACAGGTGCCCACCTTTTTCCGCAGATCATTGATGGTATCGTAGTAGCAACTGTAGTCGCGGCTGGGCCCGGGGCCTTGCTTCTGGTACCACTCGCGGATCTTCGCCTCCAGCTCGCGGTTGGCCTTCTCCAGGGCGCGCACCTTGGCCAGGTAGCAGGCCAGGCGGTCGTTGAGGTTCTGCATGGTGAACTTCTCGTTGCCCGCCAGCAGCCACTCGGACCCGCCCAGGGAGCCCCCATAGCCGCCGCCGCAGCTCCCAGAGGACGAGGACACGAAGCGAGCGCACGACACGGACACGCCGCGGCCGCCCGAGCCCCCGTGGATGCTGGGCGCACGGAAGGGGCCGCCCGAGCCAAAGCGCCCGGAGCCGCAGCCCAGGCCTCCGAAGGACGAGGTGGCCGACGACTGGCGATAGCTGTAGGAAGTCATGGCGAGGCGGAGGATGCGAGAGACGCTGCCCTAGGAGCTGCGGTCGGCAGGAGGAGTGGCGAGGCTTTCACCTGGCGCCTTTTATGCCGCGGGCGGGCTGGGAAGGGGAGGGGGAATGGTGTCAGAGGCGGACATCTGACCCCCGAGGAATTTGCAGGCTCCTGTGTGCAAATATGGGCCCTCTCCCAATTGGCCGGTGCCGGTCGGCTCTGCCCCCAACTCTCCCCTCCCAGGGATCAGAGGCCCCTGCCCTCCCCAAGACCTGCCCCCACCTACCCCAGCACACGCGCACACGCACACACACACACACACCCATCCCACTTATTCTCTGCCCTCCCCAAGACCTGCCTCCGCATACCCAGCACACACACACACACCCATCATGCACAGACATCCCCACCCCCGGAATTCACATTCTGACCCTCACCCATTAAGAACACCCAGAGTTTGACATCCCCAGGAATTACAGTCCCCCTGAGATTATACTCCCACACTGCCTCCCCGTGACCACACACTCAGAGCCTCCCCCCCCGCCCCCGCTTCATGTTCTGAGCCCCTTCCCTGTGACATACTCCACCACGACTCCAACCAAAAGTACACTCACCAAGGATGTAGAGCATAATTCTATCTCACAAAAAAAAGACCAGATTTACTAGCCTAAAGGAGACTGGAGAAACCCCGAGAGTATGGCCCCCAGACACCCTTTCAGCTCAGTGGTGAAGTTATCTCCAAGGTTCACCGTTCAGCCTGGGAGTGGACAGCCCCGTAAAACCAAATGGGACTACTGAGGTACAGCAGTCCAGTGACAAGGGCCAGAAGGCAGAAGGGGACAAAGAAGTTGGTGATAGGGAACCCAAGGTTGAGTAAGGATATTGTTGATGTGTTGTGAGATTGTTAACCATTGTCATAGGGCAACATGTACAGTAACTGTTAAATGAGAAACTATTTTGTTCTGTAAGCCTTCATCTTAAGGGAGAATAGCCGCACAATTTGTAAGAGAGTAGTCAATGTCACTGAACTGTGCATGTAGAAATTTTTGAAATGGTATATCTTTGGCTATGTGTATTTTCACCAAAAAAAAAAAAAAAGGTTGAGAAGTTAGAGGGTTGACATGTCGTGGGGTTGTTAACCAATGTCATAAAACAATATGTGTACTACTGTTTCATGAGAAACTATTTGTTCTGTAAGCCTTCACCTGAAGTGCAATTAAAAAAAAAAAAAAGACATAAAAAAAGTACACTCACCAGAGTCCCACACCCACTTGGAGTTAGTCTCTCAGAGCCCTCTCCCTGGACTCCCGTCAGTTCTCTCTGACAAAGGTACAGTTTCCGGGTGGGGGTGCTCTGAGCCACACGCTCCCTGGCCTCCCAGAGACAAAGCGGCCCCACCCTGCTGCAGAAACAAAGCGGCCCCACCCTGCTGCAGCCATACAATGCCCCAAGGTGACGATAGGCTCTGTCCAGGAACAGCTGCAGGGAGCGGTTCAGGCAGCTGTAAACTGTACCTTCACAAGCCCAAGCTCAAGCCTGACTCCCACCTGGGTGCTGACCCCACTCAGGGATTCTCACCCCAACCAGACAGCCCTCTACCTGCCAACCTCAGAAGGAAGCATTCACCAACACACATTTATTGAGCTTCGCTGGCATTCCCATGGAAACCCTGGTGGCGTAGTGGTTAAGTGCTATGGCTGCTAACCAAAGGGTCGGCAGTTCGAATCCACCAGGCAGTCCTTGGAAACTCTACGCGGCAGTTCTACTCTGTCCTGTTGGGTTGCTATGAGTAGGAATCGACTCGATGGCAACAGGTTTGCCATGATGAGGTCCCTGAACCTGAGGGAGACAACTAACTTGCCCATAAGGCGTTTAGTACCTGCCACCCAAAGACAAAAATAAGATGGAGTCCCTGCCCTGCTTGTGAGCACCTCAGAGAGGGCTACAGGCCTGAGTCCTTGTGCAGCAGAGTCTACATGCTAGTGCAGGGCTGAATGAATGAAGGAAGGAGCTAGGTAGCATGTACAAAGGTACTCATCCAGAGTGAAGAGTTGTGATAATAGAGTAGAGGAAGGACCCCTCTGCTCTCCATACAGCCCCAGCCCTGCTCTTATCCAGTTCAGCAATTCCACCCACATTGTTGAACCTCTTCGGAGGGTCAGGCCCCCTGCCAGACACCACAGGAGACTGAAACAACCTCACCCCTGGTCCTGTTCCCAGTGACCTCACCACTCCTCAGAATTGTCCCCAGGGTTCCTGTGCTCTTTGAGAAGGTGTTAGGGAGATGAGCCAGTCACTCTCCATCTCCAGGCCTCAGTTTCCCCACTGTGAAATAAGGGGAGTCCCACCTCAGCCCTCCTCTCTGTGTATTCTCACCTGGGCCACCTGTGACTGATGAAGATTTGTCCCCAGCCTCTACCTAAGTCCCCAGCAAAGTGGCTTCCAGCCACCAAGGTATCCTGGAATGGGCAGGAAACGCCCACATGTACCCCTAACCCAGCAGGAGCCACCCTAGCACTTCAGGAAGGTCAGCTTTGGGCACTAGTTTATAGTGAATCAGTTGCAGTTAGATGACAAGGAGGTCCTGGGAGTCCAAAGGGAGAAGAAGGCTTGAGCCCAGGCCTGCCCTGAAAGCAAGGTGTGGTGGGGCCTTTACAAAGCTTGTAGCCACCAGGGCTAGCCAGACAGTGAGTCACTCTCCTTATCTGGCCCAGAGGAGGAGGCCTGCTCCTTGTGGAGGAGGGGGAGATTGGCCAGATAGTGGCTATGCACACCAAGCCCCACCAGGGATCCGTTTTTCTGGCTGCATAGGAAGGTCTGGGAAGGGACTTTGTGTTAGGAAACAAAGAATAGGACCAACAATTCTACACACATAATTAAGGGGTTCTTCCTCTCTAATTCCAGAGGAACTTGAAGCCCCAGGCCCTTCCCCAGGGCCAGATCCATAAGAACAATTGACAATGGGGTAGTACTGTTGACAAAGCCTTTTCAGATCTGATTGGATCCTCACAGCAGCCCAGTGGAAAAGATGTTCTTGTCCCCATTTTACAGATGAAGAAACAGAGGCTCCAAGAGGTGCAGTGACTTGCCAGAGGTCCACAGCCAGGAGTGTCAGAGTCTTCCAGCCTCTTGACCCTCAGCCCTGTGGCCTGGGATCTTGAGTGTGAAGTCACAGCCGTAAAACAGATACACAAAAATACAACTGTACGCAACTCTTTTGCCCCCTTCTCCCAGAACCTTATCATGCCAACTCCAAGAGCAGTCAGCCACAGGTGGAACTGTGGGCTGGGGTCCGGGAGAATCCCCTGCTCCAACTCTCTGGCCCAGAAACAGTACTGGGCCAGGAGCACGGTGCCTAGCACCTTCCACTAAGAGCTTTTTGCCACTCCTCTGATACATCAAGAACTCAGGAGAACACTCTGTCCTCACAGCTGCCCTTCCCAGAGATGGAAGTGAGGGACCAAGCTGCTACTCCCATTCAGTAAACAGACTGTGTCACCGGGTGTTTCCAGTCTGCCTCTGGCCACATAAGGGCTGAGCATGATTTGAGGACTCCCTTCCAAAGTCCTGGTCTCCAGGCTGAGGGTCCCAGGTCTGGAGGGGGTGGGCACACAGTCAGAAGTGATGAGAAGGGAATCCCCCTGCACAACCTGCCCCCAGCTCAACTCTGCAGAACCCTGGCTCCATGAGATGCCCTGTGGGAAAAGGGGTCCACTGTCAAATATGTCCAAAAACACCAGTCACTCTGACTCCTTTTTGGAGATACACAATGCATAGTACCAAAGACTGTAAAAACCTCAGTTCCTCATTTATAAAGTAGGGATAATAATAATAATTAAATATACTAACATTAAATTATGTTAATTAAATCTGTTAATAAAGGAAATAATATTTTTATTATACCTATTTGGTAGAATTGTTTCAAGGATTAAGTGAGATGGTGCTTGTAAGGGGTTTATCACAGTGCCTGGCAAGCAGTAAGCACTCTAAGCAATGCTAACTACTATTATTATTATTGTTTAACTTTGTTTAACCCAGCATTTCCCAAATGTACTGGACTATGGAATATTTCTTCTGGTAAAACCTATTAATAATCCACACATTACAGGAAAAGCCGATCTAGTCCAGGGAAACTCAGACAGGTACAGTGACTTGCCTAAGTTCAGAGGGCTACCTGAAGCAGAGCCGGGATTAGTCTCCGAGACCTGACTCTAAGGCAAGGCTCTCCCTGCGTCTCCACCCAGACACTTATTAGAAGGTCCTTACACTTCAGCAAATGCAGATCATGGTTCCCAGAGGGGAGAGGTTAAAGGTAGAGGAGCTTTCATCATCTGAGTGTGTTGCAATGAATCCCCTTACTTGGCCTTTGCCCTTGGTTTTGGAAAAATAATCTTAGGGTATTTCTTGTCACCAGGCTGAGGGGACAGGCACACAGAAGTGATGAGAAGGGAATATTAGAGCTCAAAGGGATCGCAATGCCCAGCCTTCCCCCAAACCTGATTCTACAGAAGCCTGGTCCTGTGAGATGCCCTACGGGAAAAGGGGTCCACTGTCTAATAAAGTTCAGAAATGCCACTCACTCTGACTCCCTGTTGAGGATACACAATGCATAGTACCAAAGGCCCTGAAAACCTTTAAGTAATTAAGTTGTGTTGACCAGTTGTGTGTGTTGATTGGGGATTTGTTGGGCACAGGTCTTGCAAGGGAGCCCACCTGGTAACCCATAAGGAGCGTGGACTGGCTGATGAAAGCCCTGGAACCCGGGGGTTGAGGAAGCTTTTTCTTCTCTGAGAGCTGTTCTGGCCAAGGGCTGCTCTGGTTGACAAAGGGAGAGATGTGCTGTCCTTGGAGACCCTTCCAGACCTTGCCCGTGTACCTCTTTCTGGTGCTATTCCTGAGTTGTATCCTTCTACCCTAATAAACCACATAGTCATAAGTATAGTCCATGAGCTCTGTGAAATGTTCTAGCAAATGAACGAGCCCAGCAGGAAAAGAGAGTGCCATGAGTGG